AGCCCAAATAATAATAAGAATAACAATAATAATAATAATAATACTGTAATAATAATAATAATAATAATAATGATAACAACAACAATAACAATACATCAATAATAATAAAAAAAAAATAATAAAGTAATAATAATAATAAACACGAATGTTATAGAAATATTTCAATTAAGTGAATCAATAAATCGATAAAGTTAATTAAGTAGCGGATTGGTGATTATAATATATATACATACATATATATATACATATACACATACATACACAAATGATGACAATCAGTACTTATTCAATAATTGTTGCTTAAAAAGTTTTTTTAAAATTGCTTAATGAGTTCAGAGACCTTAGTGCTTGTGGAATGTTATTCCATATCTTTGACCCCTGGTATGATATACTTTTCTGACCAAACTGAGATTTTTTTATTGCTATATACATATCATTTTTATTTCTTGTATTATATTCATGAATGCTAGATCATTCAAATCACCAAACAGCTTCACCTAACATAGCAGTCATATTATTTCATTTAACAATCTCAATTCTTCAAAAGAGCAAGAAGAGTATCTCACTGGCACCACATTAAATAGTTTTTAAAACTACCTTTTAAAACAAGTTCTGGTAACAATCAGTGTTTTAAATGCTTGAGTACATAGTTCTAAAAAGAACTGTTGTCTTTGTCAATAAATGACTATCATGAACAGCAAAGAATGATTTAAACTGGGGGAAAACCACCAGGAAGTGAACATGATGACACAGTATGATGTAACACACAGAGAGGTAATTTCCCAATGACTCATAGACAAACTTCTAATAAAGCATCATTCTCAAACACACATGGCCAAAAAACCTGGCTTCTGGCAGTTAAATGTTTTCAAGTAAGAACTACCTATGATAATTGTTGGTCTGATCTTGGGAAAACCATTTTAGGAGAAAAATGTTTACATGTGTCAGTTAGACACAATCTGCAAACTAAAGAAGAGATGTTAACTAGCAAAACTACATACCTTTTGTCAGGATAATGGTTAAAAGTAGAAGCTGGCTGTGGCTGCATAGTATGGAAATTTCCAGGATAATTGGCTCCGGGACCACTATTTTGGAATCGTGCACCATATGCCTATCATAGAAATAAGAAAAAAAAAGCTTCATTCAGGTTGCATTTTCTATTTTCAGAGGGAATCCAGAATGTAGTTAGGGTTGGGGCATTCCAGAAACATCTATCTATTATACTCCTGGCCAAGCATCCAACTCAAACTCACAAAAGCCTTAAAGCTATGCTCTAATGAATGAAACTTCTTATACAAATACTACATATACTCACGTATGGTGGAATCATTCCTCTAGGACGGAGTTGTGGGGTTCCTGCCACATGAGGCACTTGCGAGAGTGGGGCTCCGCCATTGATAGACATCTGCCTGACTGACATTGATGATGGCTCCTTTTCCTGAGCATCACTATTCTTGGATTCCCCATCATTGGCACTACTTGACTTGTTCAGAGAACCACCTCCTTCCTTCCAACTCCCTACATCTTTAAAATTAAATTTATAGAGTTTAGAATTTGTAATTGATACTGTTCACTTAAGTTTATATCACTATTATAGTAACAGTCTATTAAATGATGAAAATAAATAGATTGAAGGGTATATAAATAAATTACTTGGAGTAGATATCAATTGATTGTGACCAAAGTAATAAACTAGTAATATATGTTGGGTATGCTTACTCTGAGGCCGTAGGCTTGGGCCTGGCCCATACGGCTGTTCTGTGCTGGTAGAAGAAGGTTTCTGCTGCTGTTGCTCTGTTTTTTGTTGCTGAGCATTTAACTCCTTTGATCCAAGACTTGGGAACTCCTCTTGAAAATCTTGAGGTTTGTAGCCTCGGACACCAACTACACAAGACCAACACAAAAATGGTGATCATTATTCTCTTTTTGAATTCAACTACAAGAAAACCTAGATCTTGAACACTCTTGGATGTAGAAATTCCACAAATTTGAAAAATGAAAGCATTTTCATGTGATAAATATTTTACATGTGAAAACATTTTAAATTAAAGTATGCATCAGTTTCCTCCTATTTCTTACTTAAGGCAAGCCCAGACCCCTTCCATTCCACCCAAAAAAAAAAAAACCTCAAAGATACCTACATACATTTTACTCCATAATTATAGCTGTATTTCAGCTTTATACTAACTTACAGTATGTTATAATTGCTATTGTCATTTTGCGTTACCATATTTGATGATTTATTGATTAAATTATAATGCTACAATGATTTTGAGCTTTAGGATGATTCCTGAATTTAGATTTTTGTGAAGTGCATATGTATGTGGAATGCACTATTATACAAGATACAAGATACTTTTATTGTCACTTATAGAAAAAATTCACAAGTAAAATTCTTTTTCCTGATGCTTATACACGTAATGAACTGACTTATCAATATATTGTCCTACCTTTCTTTCCATCTTTGTTGACAATGGATCCCCAGGACTTGGCATTTCCAGGTTCTACTAAATTCTGTTGTGATTTCTGAATGTCTGAAGGCTGGATGGTTGTATGTCCACCAGGAATCGGTACTGGCCTCGCTCCCTGCTGGCTTCCAGCAGTTGCATTTACAGGAGGGGAACTGGAATAAAGGTTATTGAACCCAATTCTTAAACTTACCCATGCAAAAACACAATATATAGTAATTATAGGTAATGTACTAAAAAATTAAATGTTTATAAAATTTGCACAATTTCAT